CTTGCTCATATCTAAACGATTCTAAACGTATTCTATGTTTGCACGATTATGAAGATTTCACGATCGCTCAATTCAAAATAGTTTTCCCAAGTTTTCCCTTACATCTTGTCACTGGTAGCTGATCGCACAGGAGGCCACCGCTCCTGGCCATGGTTGCTATTAATTCCCGAATGCATCCTATATTGCTTGGAATCCCGAAGATCTTCCAGCCTTAGACCTGCACTTGGTTGCGCATCGTTGCGCGATGATCTTCATTATGTAAAAAAATGTAGGAAAATATTGATGCCGCAACTTCAGAAGCTTGGGCTATGCTTGGACACGATTTCAATCAGAATGTCAGCAAAGCTGCCAACTGCCAACACTTGAGACCCAAGAAGCCGCAGCGGGTTGAAATCTAACATTCGCGACGTGGCGTGACGTATCTTAGTGCGAGTGGCAAAATGGCTCCGATAAGGAAGATCACCAATCCAACGCAGAATGTGACTTTGGCTGGCAAATTGCACTTGCAACTTCCTCCTTCTTCGCACATTGATCCTTGCACATGCGCAGAACACTAAAACACATTAGATTAACAGCAAGCATCAAAGCATAGTGTACTCTTCAGTCTATTGCAACTGATCACCAACTGCAGCAAAAAGCAACTTTAAATGCCACGGGCAAAGATGATACAAATTGTGATGATGTACCCAACCTGTAGCTGGCTTTTCCCCCTTGTTCCCCTCGAACGATTCACTGTTTGACAGTGCCTTTCAGATGTGCGGGAGGGCAACGTCTACCGTGTCGAGCACAAAAACAGCTGCGCCAGCGCAACAATGAGAAAGAGCAGAAAGAGGATGGAAGAGGCATCACCGGAAGAGACGGAATCAGTCGAAGGGCGCAAAAGGCAGAATGGCAGGCCCTGGCAATCCTTTATCCTGCCCCGGCAGTCAACGGATTGACAAGGAAGAAATGACTCGACTGTATGCAGATGCCCTTCAGGGGAAGACAGAGGCGGAAACACATGGAAACTTCCCTTTACGATGAAACTTGTAGTGTGACAAGAAGTTTGCAGATTGCAGTTGGGCCCCGCAGATTCCGCACTTGTATGTTGAACCACCATCATGGCAATTGACCAGCGCGATTAAAAAGAGCAACTTTTTCGACACAGCTGAAGAGCTCGCCAGATCCAAACTCTTTGGCTCACCTTAGATGATTTAAAATGATTTATTTGCTTTAGATGCGAGGCAAAGATGTAGAGATATGATGAAAATTGATGACATATCATGACATATCTAGTGTTTAGGGAAGTTTGGGCTTGGATGGGTTCATTCAGGATGCTCGATACATGCTGAGCTGCTGAGCCTGGCACCAGGTCTGATCTCCAAGACAGTCTTGGCACGGCTCGGCAAACCCACAATGGTGCCATCCTGATCTCATCCCACTCTCTCTGGTTTTCAACGCACTGGTAAGGGATTCTTGGGGTACTTCAGCAATGTATCATAGTGTATCGCTATATACAGTCACTTGACTGTAAGTGACTTGTCAAACATGTTGGCTCACCATGGCACTCCTACCTGAAGCCTCATGTCCATGGCTGAAACTTTTGACCTCATTCCGACTCATTCCAAATTGCCCGTGAAACTCTGGTGCAACTTGACTGCAAAGGATTAATTACAGTAGCCCACCTCTGCCATGACAGCTCCTTGCCTGAGGTTTGTGGCACTTTACAACTCTCGACAGAATTTGCGGTAGTTTTAATCACCATGTTTATCCATGTTTCATTTACAAGAAAAAATCGAAACCTCTCAGCGAAGCTGAAAGCATGGTAGCCATGGGAATACAATGTAATCAGGATCCGGGCATGTTCGCCTTGAGTGGTCTTTATTGAACGAATGTGCATATGTGTCTTGCATCCATGTCTCTCTCACATGACGCGTGGGATCTTTGATTCTCTGGACTGGCTTGACCCGGGAACGTCCGGGCAATGAATCAGCATGCATGAAACACCTTGACAAAGAGCATTCGGTTGCACTGGTATGAGCCAACACGTACCGGAGAATCTCACTGAGGCTCATTGCAACATATTGCAACACATTGCAGAAGGTTACAGCATGTTGCAACTCATCCAAGGCGCCATTTGAAATGACCTGCCAACGGACCACCTACCAGGCGCGCCCCATCAGGTGCAATTTGCAGCACTGCATTTGCCCGATCTGGAACAGCCTTGGACGTGCTGGTAGAGCTTATACCAGTAGCAATGACAACAGCAATCCCACCCTGTAGCAATGACCAATGTGATACTTCCAGGATTTTGACTCCGTGAAGGAGAAGACAGCAAGAGAAATGCATACGTGCAGTTTCTTTCTCTTCCCTTCATCTGCGCACACAGGCGCGCACACGCACACATGCAGCAGACACAGCTGCGTAGCCGCACAACCACTCTGACAGGGATAAAAACGAAGACGAAACACACATAATTCCTAGCAGTTGCATGTTGACCCAGCGGCGTAGATCGCACCATCTTTCGCCAACATTCCTCCTTGCCATTTGGATTTGCCAGGGAGAGCAAACTCCTCCTTAGCTCAAGTACCAGTAGTACCGCACAAGGTGGAGGCAGAAGTTTCAAAGATAGGGCACTATAGGAGAGGTGAATTGTTGTGATGCATGGATGGCAAAGCGAACCCACTGATGGACCGACAGGTGGTTGGAGGTGTCGTGTCGTGTGTCGTGTGTCGTGTGTCGAGTGTCGTGTGTGGTGCGCCGCGTCTCGTGTCTCGTGTCTCGTGTCTCGTGTCTCATGTCTCGTGTCTCGTGTTCTCTTGTCTCGTGTCTCGTGTCTCGTGTTCTCGCGTCTCGTGTCTCGTGTCTCGTATGTCTCGTATGTCTCGTATGTCTCGTATGTCTCGTGTCGTGTCGTGTCGTGTGTCGTGTACGGCTAAAAGTGGTACGAATGTGGTGTGTTTGTAGCAGTTTGACTTCGACATCTGCTTCTCGCCGCAACGGGGTGCACTTTTTCGACGTCTGAACTTCAAAAAATGCCCCGAAGCCGCCAGTTTTTTTACACTTTTGACTTCGAAATGTGCTTTTCGCCACAATGCCGTGCACTTTTTGAACATCTCAACTTCCAAAAGTGCTCCGAACATGCTGTGTTTTGCACGTTTTTACTTCCAAATGTGCTTCGCGCCACAACAGCGTGCGCTTTTTCAACATCTCAACTTCCAAAAGTGCTGTGGTGTTGAGGTGTTTTTAGCATTTTGAGTTGGAAATGTGCTTCACGCCACAACGGCGTGCACTTTTGTCGACATCTCAACTTCCAAAAGCGTTTCTACCTTTTCGCGCACCTACAGCTTCTTTCTTCTGACTATTTCTCTTCTTCTTATCTTCCATCTGTCCATATTGTCGGAAGTTTGACTTCTAAACTTCCACATGTATCGAAAAGTGGCATCAAGTTGCGATCTCGACATGCGTAAAGAATCGTAAAGATAATTCAAGGCACTGGATGGTATCCGGTTTTCTTTTCCCGGTGTCCAGATGGTTTGAATTGGACGCCGCAAGCGGCTGTCAAAATGATTATAGCCAAGCGCATCAGCAGCTGGAAACATAGATCCCTGGATTTCCAGCTGGATTTTAGAGGATCCTTCTCGGGGGGAATACCTTCTCAGCAGAATGACATGTGACATGTGTACCATAAACCTTGAAAACCTTGAAACAGTACAGGTCTCATCCCGCTAAATGTCTGACTGCTTTCAAAGCTTCCATCATGGAGACCTCATCTGTGAAGGTGTCGATCTTCAAAACGGAATCCTCACTGCCCAATGATCAGCACAAAGCTTATATGATTATTTACACGAAACCTCCTGCCGTGATGTGTGAGACACAGCAACAAATGAAGGATAATAAAGAAATAGTTATTTTAATTGTCGCATTGTTTCCTCTCTTAAATTTAGCCTCAAAATCAGACAAGCCACATGGTTGCTGGGAAAGCCATACCTGGGACGCGCAAGGATGGTCAGAAAGCTTTCTGCCCAAAACCCACTGAGGGCGGGGTCAGAACCCTGTGAAAGAAAATAGAAAGACACGGGTTAAAGAACTCCAAGCCGTGACGGCCACTTGAAGAATTACGGGCGAAGGAAAGAGGTCTGAAGGAGACCCAGGAAACGAGACGAACGAGAGACTGACAAAGAAAAAAAGGATATCTCATGATATCTCAGAGAACTGAGAAGGGCTGCGCAGTGCTTAAATGCTTTGCGTCGATGTCAAGCTCCCTTTCAATACGGCTATATTATTGCAAAACATTGAACAAACACGCGCAAAACAGATAAAATATAACAAAGCCTGACAAAACAACAGAAAACCGCAGAGTCACGTAGAATCCAAAGGGAACCTCCCCCAAAAAAGATCAGGCAGTACATCCAGTACATCTCAACATATCTCAACAACTCTGAGAGAGCCTTGCACCTGGCGCCGCTGAGGTACACAAAGCGCTTTGCATCTCCAGCTCCGCCACCCCATTTGAAGGGCTGATCCGTCAAATCTCCAAGCAAGGAAATCCCGGCACCTTGTCATGACGCGAGGAATCCCAAAGTTGGTTAGAATTAAGGCAGTTAAGATATGTTAAGATACGCCCTTCGCATAATCGTTGAGAGAGCCGGAAAACCAAAGAACAATGATTCGCGAAACTAGGTTCTGTGGAAATCCGCAGGTGAAAACATTGCAAGAACTCACGTTGACAAGATCGATTTACACAGCGGGGGAAATTAAAACGAAAATGGGCGTTAAAATTATTTGGGTAGTAAAGATCGTCAAGTCGGAAGCGAGAAACTTGTCATGGACACTTTGAACTTGGCAAGCGGCACCTCCACCCGGTTCAATCTTCAGCACCTTAGGGCAATCTTGACAGAAACTCGAAACGTGAAATAAAAATAATAAGTTAAGAGAGCAAATCAGGAAAGATCGACAAAGACTATAGGTTCGTTTTCGAAGTTCACTGGTCCGTTGCTGTGGTTTCCTCGGTCCTAGCATGTCCCAGCGCCACTGGTCAATAGCCAAGCTACGCTTCGTGCATGCGAAGGGATGCCGTAGATTGCCCCATCTGGGCCAACAGTACCACCTTTGACACTGGGAGATGACTTCAATGAGAAATCCTAAAGGGCACCCAACCTACAAAACATTACAAAACCATGAAGCCTTTAAACATCTTCAAACCACAAAAATACCATGCCCAGGAGGCTACCGATACCAGTTGCTTCCGTGACTAGACACCAACTGGACAGTCGGGACAGTCACAAGCAGAGCACCCTCGCGGTAGCAAGGAGACAGCACTTGGAAGATACAGTATGGAAGGTTTGCCAACTCGTTGCGGAAATGACACACAACTCAATCACCTCATCCCTAGCATGGCAGCATGAGCAACGGAGAAATCCATAGAAATACCACAACTTCAATGTCAACCACATGAATCACATGAATCACCTCCCACGTGCGGGTCAAGGATCGTTGAGGGCCATGCCATGTGGCACATCTCAGCCGAGGCACCATGCCACTTCCATTTCCCAGGAAAATCTCCAAAGGTGCTCACCTCGCCCTGCGATATCCTTGACAAAATTCGAGAGAATCCGACTATTTCGACTATTTTCCTGCTGTTATCAATCTGTTATCAACTGCATCCATTGCGGGACAACCGCAAAATGGCACTCGGCACAACAGTTTTTGTGGGGGTCCAACGCGCAAGTTTTGAATGCAGTGAACGTCTCTCAGCATCTGTTACTAATGTTAATAGCTCCAACTCTCCACATCCCCGCTACATGATACTATTACAATATTACAATCACATGGTAGTTCACCTATAGTTCTTTGGAATGCTAAGCGGCCGCAGTAAGCGATGCCGAGCGTCTTCAGAATTTTTTCTGCGTTGTATGGGATCCCGTAGATGGAACCATCGTGACCCAGCAAACCACCTTGGCAAAGGCACAGAAAGCCCTGAGAGGCGATGAGAGGCACTGACAGTCAAGAACATCTCAAGATTCTAAAGATGACAGTGAAACGAGCGCGAATGTGAAACCAACCGGAGCGACCCCAGTGCCAGCAAGATGTAGTCCCAACTGAGTGTGAAGTTCAAGTTGCACACTTGTTGCACAGATGCACTTCAAAGATTCTAAGTGAAAGAATGCTGTCGAAATATTTCGAAATTATATGCATGGTTTTACCGCAAATCACCCTGAACATCCCATATTGATTAGGATCAATATATTGATTTTGATGGGTTGAAAAATCAATATCAGATATTGATTTTTCAAATCAATATTTCAATGTAAAAAATGATGGTTTTGACCATATGAAATCAAGAGAAAAATCAATATTTCAGGTGCTGCAAAACAAGCATTTTTTCAAGGAAAAGTCGAGATCTTTGCCTTATAAGGCTACTTTGGCCTTTTCCAAAGAGCTACATTTTCCAAAGCTTCCTTGGCCTTTTCCAAAGCTTAGCATTTTCCAATGTTTCTGGACTTTTTGCCATGCCTTTTCCAAAGCTCTAGAAGGTGTCATCTTCTTCAACCCAAAGAGGCTTTTCCAAGCCTCTTGTCATCAAGAGGTGGAAGAAAATGCGGTACTTGGGACAAAGCTTGGTGCTGATCTTGGTTGAAGATACACCAAAGCTGATGGAGTGAGCCATCTTGCTCACATGTCCCACAAAATCTTCCCCTCTGAAGCACCACTGTCGCCTGGGGTTCATATATTTACTATTGAGAAGTAAATGTATGAAAGTGTGGTGTTTTATAACAATGGCAAAAGAATTCCTATCCTTTTCCAAGGACCAAGAATTCAGCCATTTGTAAGATAGCAAAAACTCTTTTCCAAGAGCCATGCTTTGAGCAAATTTTGAAGGAGTTTAAAATGTCTCTGCTTCATCCCACAGAGCCACAAGCTTTTCCAAGCTCTTGGCTGCAGAGATCATTTTTCTTTCTTCTTCCCTCACATGCATGCTTGGGCCAAAGAGCTTTTCCAAGACTGGCACAACTGCTGGCAGGAGGTGCTTGGCTTCTCCAGCTTTGATGTCCAAGGATGCTTTGGAAGCCCATGGCTTGTTTGCATCTGTAAACATAGACAACCTTAGACAACCTTAAATTGGTCAATCTATTTGACAGCTCTTGGGACCTGTATTGTTCTTGGATCTCATCCAAGATGAAGCCAAGCCTTTTCCAAGGCTTTTCTTTGCAGACCTTTCCAGGCCCCTCCCACCAACATGCATAATGCAACACACCTCCCACCAACATGCAACCCATGGCATTCCTACCATGCCTTTTCCAAGGCTCTTTGGCTGTGACCTTTTCCAAAGTCACTTTGCTTTTCTGTTCCCATCTGTGGCTGTGATGTTTTCCAAAATCACTTTGCTTTTCTGCTTCCATGTGTGGAAATATATGTCTTTTCCAAGACCTTTTGGCACTGACCTTTTCCAAAACCAATGGCCTCTCCTGCTTCCAGCTGTGGACTGTGCTTTGCCACCAACACTCTTGAGCTCTTTGGTCTCATCTTTGGCTTCCTTGACAATTTTGGCCACACCCATCAGCTTCTTCTTGATGGAAGCAGAATCTTTGTTGTTCTTTCCAGACAACATGGCTTTCAGGTCACCAAGAGCTTTTCCAAGCTTCTTGAGAGCAGTCTCTGCAGATGCTCTGCCAGCCTTGTTCAGCTTGGACTTAGCCTTTTCCAAAGCCACTTCCAAGCCTGACTGTGTGGATGCAACCATGTTCCTGGCTGTCTTGCAAGCTTTCAGTACCTTTTCCAAGGTATCCAGCTTGTCATCAGGAGTGTCCTGGTTGCTCTTGTTCTTGGCTTTGCCTTTTCCAAGGCCTTTGCCCTTCCCATGGCTCTTTCCAGAGCCCTTGCCCTTGGGATGATCATCCACCTCCAAGGAATGGCATTCTTTGGTGAAGAGATCCATGAACTTTGCCAAGTCCTCTTCCATTGGATCATACTCCACCCCACTCTGCCATTCCTTGGCCCTGTTGGTGGAGATCTCCCTTTGGAAGCACTGGGTGTCCTTATATTCATAAGCACCCCATGTGGAAGGGCACTCTCTCCAGACAACTCTTCCAGATTGCAGATGCAGGTCAAGTTCCTCTGGTGTGAACTTGGCCAGCATCTGCAGCTCTGTCTCCCAGTTGTCAGCCTTGGTGACCTTTTCTCCCACAGACGCCTTTTTCAAGGCTGTCATGTATTGTTTGCCTTCCTTTTCCAAGAGATAGGCTACAGCTGCAATGCCTTTGTCTTTCTTGGACAAGTCATTGTAAGCTGCCTGCTCCTGCTTGGAGCCATGCTTCAGAGCAGTCTGGTGTTTGCTCCAAGCCTTTGGCTTCTCCAGCTTTGACATGCTGTCATGCAAGACAATGGCAGCTTCATTTGGGTCCTCAGCCCCTTCAGCTGCTGCCTTCATCTTGTCTTTCAAGCTCATCTGGCCTAACTTTTCCAAGCTGGCCTTGCTGAGCTTGCTAGCCTTTCCAGGCCTCTTAGCCTTTCCAGGCCTATTAGCCTTTCCAGGCTTGCTGGAGGAAGCCTTTGGTTTCTTCATAACTTTCTTTGGCTTTTCCAAGCCCTTAGGCTTTTCCAAACCCTTTGCCTTCATGCCTTTCATGGCTTTCTTTGGTGCCATTGCTTTGTTTGTTTTTTTTCGAATTGCTTAGCTAACTGCTACAAGAAGTTTGAACCAAAACTGCCACATGCATCATGCATGCATGTTTATATATATATATATATATTTACATAATATATATATATACATACAAATACATATATACATAACTATATATACATACATTTATCTTTAAATACATATATATATATGTTTTGCAACCCATGTTATATTTCACCCCAAACCATTTAACACACCACACCCCAAACCATACAACATGTAATATAGAATGTTTTAAACAAACCAAATGTTTCAACCACACCTGCATGTTTGATAATAAACTAGTGGAATAACAATATGTTATATTTGCTTTTAAAAAAACACATGGACTTTTCCAAGTCCAAAAACATATGTATGCGCTAAATTTGTTTATATGTTTATGATTTCAAACAATTGTTTCCAATGACTAATTTGCATTTTGTAAAAATATTATCAACATATATTGTATTGTCCAACATAGTTTGCTTTTAGTGTAATTATATTTGGCAAATATTTATATATAGAACATATATGTACATATTTGATTTTAACGTAAAATAAATGCATTTCTGTTTTTTTAAATAAGCTATATTGTTTAGAACAAACACAGTTATTTTTGTTTTTTATTTTTCAAACCAATGAACAATTCATGTCCTACAAATTTGTTAGCGCACAAAACAAACAATTAACTTTGTTTTCAAAAAAACACAAAACAATAATTTTGTTTTCAAAAAACAAACAAAAAAACTAAGAAAATACAAATCTGATCAAATCTGATCAATTCTGATCAGTTTTGATCAAATTTGATCAAATCTGATCAAATTTGATCAAAAACCACTTTTGATCAGATTTGATCAAATTTGATCAGATTTGATCAGATTCACCCTGACTTACATTTTTATATTTTTTTCTATTTTTCTTTTTAATATCAAATTGTTTTGTCAGTTTTCTTCTGGCATTTGCCTGGGTTGAGATTAAGGGAAATGCTTAATTTACTTTTTGTGCAGAACAAATTGCAATACCTTTGTTTGAGCTTGTTTTGAAACAATGCTTGATCGCAAATCAAAGTTTAGTTGTGTGAATGTGTATCTCTGATTTCCTGTTCAAATCCAATACCACCAAGACATGTTTTTTTTTAAGAAAACTGTGTCAAATTGAATTTGACGGTCTCTAGAGTTTTAAAGGTCCAGGTTTGGAAAAACCTGTGCTTTTATATTTTGGTTGTAGAGGTGAGTCTCACTAGATTTCATGCCAGCTTGGACACAAAAAGAATTTTAAAAAGGTCCAGGTTTGGAAAAACTTGTGCTTTTATATTTTGGTTGTAGAGGTGAGTCTCACTAGATTTCATGCCAGCTTGGACACAAAAATATTTTTTAAAAGGTCCAGGTTTGGAAAAACCTGTGCTTTTATATTTTGGTTGTAGAGATGAGTCTCACCAGATTTCATGCCAGCTTGGACCCAAAAATAATTTGGAAGAACATTGCAAAAACAAAAAAAAAGTTCTGTGCAGGTTTGTTTTGAATTTTACTTGGGCATTTCCAGGCTTTTCCAAGCCTGTGGTTTTGTGTTGTTCCAGAGTTTAGTTTTGTCAAGGTCCATGACTGGCCTTACTCAAATTTGTACAAAAAAATCAGAAAACAAGAAAACACAAACCATTAATTTGTAAATGCCAATTTAAAATATATAAATATAAGTAAAAATTCTTAATTATTTATTTATTTGAATCTAAATTTATATATATATATATTATTTTTTTATTACATTTTTCTTCATTTTTCTTATTGTTTGTGTGACTGGTGTATTACCAGTCACACCTTTAAAAAAACAGCCTGCAAACAGGCTGACTGTACACTGTACAAAGGTGCAAAAAAAACATGTTTTTCCAAACCTGTTGCTTGGAAAAAAACAGCTGGTTTTTCCAAACCAACTGTTTGATCCTAGTGTGGCTTTTCCAAACCACATTGCAACAGGCACTTCTGAGGCTGCACAGTAGCTACAAACAGATGAAACATGTTGAAGTGTTGTTTCAACAGTTCTGTTTATTTTCATTTATTTCAAATGTATTTCAAACAAATGGTGACTTAACATTTACTTGCAGCCTCTGAAGTGCCTGTGTGGTGAAACTAGGATGCTACATGCTTTGTTCAGGGGCTTTTCCAAACCCCTTCTTTGCAGGAGTTTTTCCAAACTCCTGGTTTTGATGCCATGCATGCCTTTGGTGCTTTTCCAAGCACCACACCAGCCCCACAATGTGCTTTTCCAAACACCTCCTGCAGTCTTTTCCAAGACTTACAGCTTTGGATAATGGCTGAAGAACTTGTCCACAGCTTCAGCAAAAGTGCCAAAACTGTCCTCAGCCAGAATCCACTTGTGGGGCTGGTTCTGGGTTCTGATGGGGTACACATCCAACCCCCATTGCATGCATTCCTGGCAAATTTTTCGATTGTCATCAAAAATTGCCATGGCATCCATCTCACAGGCAATGTGGCATTTGCCCCTGTGCCCAACTTGGGCCCAGCAGACTTCTTTTCCAAAAAGCTGCTCATGGAAGGGCACCAAGGTGTGGATGTCTTCCATCACCTTTTCTGCCCTTGTGTCAGATGCCACATAGCTCAAGATGCACACCCTGCATCTTGAGGCCAGAAGCTCCAAGGCATGCAGATCCCTGTCTGAGATGGCATCATTGTTCTCCAGGGTCTGATGCCAGTCCACAATGACCAGTGGCTTTTCCAAGCCAGGCTTTTCCAAGCCAGTGGTGGTCTTGGGCTCTTCCTTGGAGCTGGGCTTTTCCAAACCCTTGGACTTTCCCAAATCCTTCTTCTTGCTGGGCTTTTCCAAACCCTGAAGCTTGCAGGAGGAGGACGAGGCTGCAGAGCCCTTTTCCAAAGGCTCAGCAGGGGTCAAGATGGCCTTCCTGGCTGTGCCATCTTCCCCCTGCTTTTGCAGCCACCAGCCACAGAGTGGCTCCTCTTCTTCTTGGCAGCCTCAGCTGTCAAGATGTCTTTCTCCTGCTGCCTCTCCAGAGCTTTTCCAAGCTCTGCCTGCAGCCTGGCTTGGCACTTCTTCTGGGCACTTTCCAGCTGCTCCAGGTGCCTCACCAACACCTGGGGATCACTTGGGTTTTCCCCAGCCAAGCGATCCCACTGCAGGTGTTCCCTGTTGGCTTTTCTGGTGGCACTGGTGGTGCCAGAGCCAAAGGGCCTCCCCTTCTTATTCTTGGGGCCATCAGGGGGTTCCATCTCTGACTTTTCCAAATCAGAGATTTTCTTGAAGCTTTGGGATTTTCCAAACCCAAATGGCTTTTCCAAACCCAAAGGGCTTTTCCAAGCAACAGGCTTTTCCAAACCTGTGGCAGCAGCAAGGCCTTTTCCAAGACCACCAACAGCTCAGCTACTGGAGGTTGTGTGAATTGTGATTTGTTGTTGGTTGAAGTTTTTGTTGTTGTGTTGTACCAAGGCAAGTTATGTCTGTCCCTATGTGTGTTTGTGTCGATAAAATTGTGAACATGTGCTCATGCACATATATATATATATGTATGTATGTGTGTGTGGCTATGCCTGTGAGTGTGCTAAGTGCATGGGTGGTGTCATGTTGACATGAGCCACTCTAACCCAAACTGAAAACAGCTGCAGACATGCATGCAAGTTACCAATGCAGCACAACATGCAGAACCAGTCACTACAACAGCTGCACCTGGCTGCACTGCATTTTTTTCACACAGAGCAAAACTGTACCTTGGTCTTTTCCAAGACCTGTTTGGACTTTTCCAAGACCTAGACTTGGATTAACCCAAGCCTAGACCTTTTCCAAGATATTTCCAAAATTGCAAGCTGAAAAACAAAACAGCTCAAAGAGCCAAACAGCTGTAGGATATTAATATTGATATTGATTTTGATTGGGTTCAGAAACCTATCAATATGCTATCAAGAAATGAATCAATATTTCAAATCAATATGCTATCAAGAAAAATATCAATAAAAAATATTGATTTGCAAGTTGACCAAGCAAATCAATATCTCAGAGCCTCAAAATATTGATTCTAATCAATACGCGATGCTCAGGGCAATCCAGTCATTTTGACGCCAAAGGTCTGATGCAAAATCAACCTGCAAACCAATTTTGGGCCAGCTGCCATACCACTTGTTGCAGCCTTCCGGAAGCGATCCAAGAATCTGCACCTCAGCGACTCAATGGTCCACATCAGCAACTTCTGTCGGGAAAAGAATGAAGAAAACACAAATGCAACGAAAAATGCACGACAAAATACGACGAATGGTTCGATGAATGCCTACAGAAGCCCTTCTCGAACATGTTGCGAACTTTTCGACCCTGTCCAAGTTGCACCTCATCTGTGTCGGGCACCACCCGCAAAACACCCTCAGCCTGAGCTTTATTAACAATTTCGCAACTTCTCATGGATTTTGATCAATCTCTTCATGTTAAATATTGAAATCTTTTCCCAAGAAAGAAAGCCAAAAAACCCTTGCGCATTGCAAAAACCCTAGATTCACCAAACCGACTCGTTCCCTCTGTTCTCATTTGCTAAATGCGTTCCAAAATTCAAACATCTTTGAGCGCCTTCGTTTCCCTTCCGTCTTCCTTGGCCTCCGTGCATTGCAGGGGATGCCGTAGATGGCGCCATCAGGACCCAAAACACCTCCATGCCATTTCCAACGACCGTCACCAACCAGGCCCCGTCCCACGTGCCGCACTTCGCCTCGGCACGTGGCAGACAAAGCCATGGACAGTTCAACGAGCAAATGAAAACAAAGATGCACGATCACTATTGCGCGATATCATTTTTGCATATTTTTGCATTTTGTTTTTTCCTTCTTGCATTTTTTGATGCTATCTCATACCAGTGGTGTTCGGCTGGGCTGGGGCGAAAAACTCCAAAATGAACAATGGCTACAGATGGCTACAGGGTAGCCAGCTAGGCATTCTCTTGGCCGCAGCAGCATTCACCACAAGACAGCTTTGGCTACAGGGACCCACGAAACGGTCTGTGGCAAACACAACGCATGAATGGAGTTCTTGGTGAGAAATCTATCAATGAATGGATGGAATGGAGTGGAGCGGAGTTAAATGATAATGAATGAAGGGTTGAATGCATGAATGCTGAGTGAACTACTTGTTCGTTGAGCTACCCATGCTACCCATTCCTTCAGCGAAACCTTCTCTAAGGGACCTCGTTGCTGATCTACCTCTTCACTGGGCCGCTTCTTCGCTAAACCAGCTTCTCTGAGGCGTTTCATTTCTCAGTATTTCCCTAGTTGCCTCTGCCATGGTCGAAAAACGTGAGTTTGGGGTGGAAATGAGAGAATTTGAAATCATCATTTTTGTTTGTGGAAGCAAACGTTTTACAGCGACGTTTCTACTAGCGAAAAAACAAGGAACTTGGGCAGCGGCAAGGTTTGCCTTCCGATGCGTTGGTCGAACAGTTTGTTTCTGGTGAAGAAACAAATTTTGTTTCCACCAAACGTTTCCAGGAAAACAAACAAGCCAACCAACCAACCAACAAACAAACATCAAACAAACAAAAGAAAAAACAAAGAACCAAAAAAACAAAGAAAAACAAAGAAACAAAGAACAAAAAAAACAAAACAGCACAACACAACCCAACCCCAACACCAACACCAACACCAACACCACCAGGAACAACAACAACAGCAACAGCAACAGCAACAGCAGCAACAACAACAGCAACAACAACAACAACAACAACAACAACAACAACCACAACAACCACACCCACACCCACAATACAACCGCAACCAAAACGAAACGAAACAAAACAAACAAACAGACTGCGGCAGTAGCAGGCTCTGGCTCTACTGAGCAAGCAAAATAACTACCTACCCTAGAGTAAGTCACACCAACCCAAGCTCACAAAGTCTTTCCTCACCCATGCTGATACCAAAGTATCGTGCTTGAGCCGCACTTGAACCAAAGCGCATTGGAGTGTCTGGCATGAGGAAAGTGACATGCAAGTCCTGAAGACTTCAAAATTCTTCAAAGCGACTGAATTTGGAGCATAAATTCCATAGCTCAGTTGTTGTGTCTGTCTAAGGTGCAATTGCTTCCAAAGTGAACAATACAAATCCCGAAGCAAAGTTCAAAAATCGCCCAGCGCAAAGTAGTGCTGATCTTGCTCAAATATGACAGTTTGGATTTCCATCCGTGAGCCTAAAATGCCATGGATTCAAATGCCTGGGCCGGCCATGTAAAAGTACGGTCATCATCTGCTCAAGGTACGCCCTTTGGAAAGTCACCCAGAGCATAAATTTGGAAAGCACAGCTGGCAATATGCCAATGCCGAAGTTGGAGAATGGCATGGAAAGTGCGGAGTTCTGCAGATGAAACGTTCCATCTCTGTCCACGCTGTGCCATCGGAAAAATTGGAAGCAACCTTGCGCTGGCCCCTGCAGAAAGTAAGGCTCGAACCATCTGCCGTAGTTTTGAAGGGCCCATCGAAACGCCATGTTGAAAGTCTGGCAAATCGATCTGAAAGAAAAACTCTCCTGATTCAAGTGCAAATAGTGCCATTGCTCTTCCAAAGTTCTCTGGGCCCTTTTTTCAGCTCCGCCTACCAATGTACTTTGGCTCAGGCGCGGCTGAAGCACGGTAGTTTGGTATCAGCACAGGTGAGAAGAAACTTTGTGAGCTTGGGGTGGTGTGACTTACGCTAGGGTAGATGGTCACTTTGTTTGCTGTAGTGTCAGAGCCTGCTACTGTCACATGAAAAAGCGGATGGGAGAAAAGTGTCTATTTCACACAGCCGCACAAACAGACATACAAACAAACAGCCAGCCAGGCAGGCAGGCAGGCAGGCAAACAGAGTGAGGTTGAGCTTGTTTCGGGCTTTCAGTTTAAAAAGAAACACGTCGCAGAAAAATCTTTTGTTTACAGCTCGAGAACATTCCTTTCTGGTGGAAAACCTGTGTTTGGCAGGGGAAACTCTCGTTTCCGTTCTGCAAGGTCTCTGTGCCAAATTCGAAATGTATGGTTGGGCTCTACAAAGCCAAACTCTTGCCGGCTTGCGAACGTTTGTTTTGATGCTTAGAAACAAATGCTTTTCCACGAGAATCGTTCGCTTATGCTGGAAAACAAAATGCTGCCTGCTTCCCTACTGGCTGGTTCAAGCTGGTTCAAGCGGGTTCAAGCTGGTTCAAGCTGTGGTTCTGGCTGGTTCGGGCTGGTTCAGCCTGGGTTAAGACTAGCTGATTCAGATGTCTGGTTCAAGACGCGGGTTTGTGGAGCTCAAACAAACTTGGAACGGGCATTTAAGGCATGGCGTGATGGCAAGCAAAGCTCCCTGGCTCTTACAATGAACATCAATGAACTAATGTTTCACGTTTCCACTTACTGCGAAGATGATGCTGCGATATGCTGTGAAATCTCTCCATTGACATTCGTCCGTAATTCGGAAATTTGCGAGCTAGACTTGGACCTCTGCAACTTGCTCCGCGTAACTCTGCTGTTGAGGAGCCGGTGCTGGGCACAATCTTTAGAACGGAGTCTGCATGCGCAGGGATGCCATAGATGCCTTGAACAAAGGGGATGCACGCTGTTCCAAGATCAGGAACACCAATTCTTTAAGATTCAGCTCATGGGAGGCCACAAAGCGGACCCTCTATTCAAAGTTCGCCGTACTTGTGGTTGCAGAATCTTTTGGAGTTTTGGGTGCTTTGGCGGTTTTTCTGTTTTTTCTAATGATTTGAAGCTAGGTCAAGCATGGAGTGGCATGCTTGGTCAAACCAGATTAGACGCTGCTGTTCTCTGTGAAATCTTTGAAGCAGAAATGATCCTGCAACATTTTTCACATGTTTTCATCTATTTCTTCGTGCTGTTGCTTCCAATTGGATCTTGAAACGAAATGCTGAGCCCGCCCACAGCCATTTGGAGCGAGTATTCCCCGAAGCCATTTGAATTTGCCATCCAACCTGTTTGAAGCTCAGTGATGAGAGGAGGTTGGAGAACCATCAGAACTGCAACGTAGAGGTACGTAATTAGTAACTAGTGAGACACATAGTCACGAGATGTCACAAGGAATCTGTAAGACTGACCGGGAAGCGGCAAAGTGAGCCTGGGACCAATCCGTTGCACATCGTAGGTCCGAGGATCAATCCCTGAGTGCGAGTGATCACTGAAGGCTGCAAACAACCCAACCTGATGATTCTGTATGACGGCGAGATTATGCGAGATTGGTGAGTGGACATGTTTAATGTCAGCTGATACTTTTGGTACACATGTGTGAAGAAGCTGCAACACCATGAAAGCAAGCACAGACAAGAACAATCAAACACAAAGGCATACAAAGGCACTCAGCACTTGTTTGGCATGACCAGGAATGCCATAGATCATGCCGTCGCCTGAAGACAAAGTCGCAAAAGACTAAGCATCAAACAGCAGCTGAGCAGCCAAGAATAGTACAGGCTTTGCCGGCAACCGAGCCACAGCTATTTGATTGCCATTATGAAACCACAAATGACAAGCGAGTGGCACGTATACAGCCGTTCGGTTTTCTGGCTTATTTCACATTGTTGGGGTGGGGTGGGGTGGGGCAATAACGTCTGTTGCCTAGCGTTCTTGTGCTGATGCTAGGCTACTGTGTGTTCTCTTGCAGTTCCGCAGATGCGTCATTCTACCTCAGCGCATCTTCATACGGATTGGGTGGGGTGGAGTGGGGTGGAGTGGGGTGGAGTGGGATGTTAACGTTCAGGTGACGCTCATGATGTTACGTTGATCATGGGGTGGCCTGGGTTGGGGTGGGGTGGGGTGGGATGTTAACGTTCATGTGACGCTCATGATGTTACGTTGATCATGGGGTGGGGTGGGGTGGGGTGGGATATTAACGTTCATGTGACGCTCACGATGTTACGTTGATCATAGGGTGGAGTGGGGTGGGATGCTAACGTTCATGTGACGTTGATCAGTGGAACACAGACCATTGATTCAGATTGGAAATCGTTGAAGTGCTGGCTTCCCAAGGAAGCTTCCAATAAAAGAGGCACTGTTGACTTGGTGACCCACTCCTCAAAATTGGAGCAAAGGGTCTGGCAATGGATGTGGCGCAGAACCGAACTGCGCGGCAATAATTCAGAGAAACTTGCAGCCATGAGCAAATTGTTCAATGGTTGAAGTAGTTTTCAGGACGTCCAAAAACAGGCGTGCACCACCGCATAGGCAATTTCAATGGGAAATACACGCACACGCCCTCAAAACCACCAGGCGCCTATCAGCGCCGTTCCCTAGATTCATCAAATCCAAAAACCATCAAAATCAACTCCTCGTTGTGGTAAATCTACGTGTTTTGCAACTTTAGCTTGCAACGACCACTTTCAAATTTTCAAAACACCAAAACTTAGCTCCATGTGAAAACCAGTGTAACGGCGCACTTCACACAATGACCAAGTACATTTAATCTCACAAAACGACACGGCCGTCTATGCGCCGCAGTCCTAGTTGCACTGTTCAATTACTATGTACTGTAATCATATGCAATCATATGCAATCTATGTATAATATGTTATAATATGTTATAATATGTTATAATATTGTATAATGATGACGTAGCAGGACAATGCAGGACATATCCCAATGGCCGTGTCGGGAAACTGGTGGCATCTTGTGGCTGACCGGCTGACCGGACCTGCTCGGACTCCACCCAGATATTTGAACTGGCCCATGATGGGACCTCCAAAGGTTCGCACACATGGCCCATGGGACCTCGCTGCGAATGCACCAAGAAACGCATTGATTATCGGACGATGATCGTTGAACGGCGTTGTACATATTGTGAAACTTTGTCAAGTAATGGAATATTTGGACTCGCACTGGAAAGTCAAGACCCAAACCTATCACAAGCCTCTGCTATCACAAGCCTCTGCTACCTTTCGCGCTTGTATTGGGTAAAGGACGATTGCACACTGGTTTTGAAACAAGCGCTTCCTCTAAGTTGATATGGCTACTCAGTGCCAACAGAATCTGACAAGCTATCAAGCTGTGATTCCGAGCCGCATGAAAGCCAACTGTGCACCGAAGGCGATCAGGACAAACAGCCTCAAATGGTTTTGAACAAATCGCTCAGTCCATTCATTTCCAACACGAGCAAGATAGGTGCCAGTATGCTTCTGGAATCCTGTCTTCTTCCACAGAATTTCAAGGACGCATTCTTTTGAGTCATCGATTCTAGGACAACATGAACAAGAAACGATCAACCTGCATGGAAAAGGTTTCATGCTTTGGGGTAGGACAGTCCTGCTTTGAGCAGCGTCAACTCAACCAGTCTGTCCAACTGGAAGACACCATGGAGATCAATTAATATGACGGTATTCCGCACTATTCAACCTCAAACTCTGAAGCCGCGAGACAGTAACCGAAATACTTGCGGCATGGAAAAACATGGCTGAAGCGGCCAAGCATTCACATAATCTCAAGTAAGTCTCCCATCTCCCATCTCAGACGGTCTCAATCTTTTAAGAGTTGATGGAGAAAGACGAAGACATTAAAAAGATCCGCGGTTTGTGCTTGACTATTCGGCTTTTTGAAGATGTGCATTTCGTTTCAAGATTGTTTTGCAGGGTCACTGATGTTTGCCATCCAAATCCAAAGCTGCTCTTTGTCAGCCCTTTCAACGCTGAAACGGAGCCAAACGGAAGAAGGGCAAACAGCGCTGCAAAGATATGACAAAGATAAATAGTGCAAATAGAATATCAATGCAGAACAAATAGACTACAGCAGAGTCAAGGTGGAGCCAGTATGGAGTCAATAGAGCGATACCTTGTGCCATGTGCTTCGAACATGAACAGTTCAACTTCATCACGGCCTCACGGTGCGTCTTTTTCCGACTGATAGGGCGTACTCGGCATACTGTTGAGCATCGTGTCACCCAGCGCCTTAATTCGAATCCAACAATGCATGGGGCCAAAAGCGATCAAAAAGCGTCGTTACCCAGAATGGCTAAAGTTTTGGCCCAGTTGAACCAGTTGAACAGCTGGCCCAGTTGACCCCGTTGACTCAGTTGGCCCAAGTGACCCAGTTGAACTTCAACTGGGTCAACTGGGGCTGGGCCAACTGGTTTAACTGGGTAAGCATGGGTAAGCTGGATCTGCATCAAGCGGATGAACGGGATCAATCAGGTCAACTGGGCGAACTGGATGAGGGGCGGGCGAGCCGGGCCAATTGGGTCAACTGGCGTTTAATTGAACAATATACAAAACAAGGTGGTTTTCTGTGGCCCTAATCGCTCTTAAGGCCACCGGTGTTTGTTGTTCATGTTACCAGTGGCGCGACAGGAGCAATTGGGACCAAGTCAGCTGGTTTCAACTGGTTTCAACTGGTTTTTCTGGATTGATATTGTTAGTATTTGTTAGTATTTGTTCGTATTTGTTAGTATTTGTTAGTATTTGTTGGTATTTATTAGTATTTGTTAGTTGGGGTAGCTAAAGCGTCTCAAATGTCTTATTCGGGTTGAGGTGTTCAACCTAAGCAATCGGTTTGGGACTGAATGATTTGGCTCGAGTGGTTTCATTAGATTCATTACCAAATCTGGCGCTACATCGGTGGGATCCTTGGTTGCGCTCCGAGAAAAAGGTAGCAGTGTGGTCAACTGAGTCAACTGAGTCAACTGAGTCAACTGAGTCAACTGAGTCAACTGAGTCAACTGGGTTACTTGAAATTACGTGAATCCTTAATGCATTTACAGTGGGTCAATTAGGTTGGAGCCCAATGGAGTATCTGTATTGTTTCGTAGGGGCAGGGGGAAAATTATTACAATTAATTACTCGACATGTCAACTTTGTTCATATTTGCAAGGTATTGTGGTGCAGGAAAGGGGGGTTGATGGGGTTGAATTGTTGAACAAATTAAATTTGTTCATACATTCAACGTATTCTTTTGCATGGGAAGGAAGGGAAACTTAGCATGAATCCTGAATCCACATGTGAATTGTGTTCATAAACATCTTGTAGGGAAGATGGGGTATGTTTGAACAATGACTAAGAACTCAACATGTCCGTTGCGGTCATATGTTAAACTTATAGTTTTGTAGGGTCCAGAAGGGGGTAAATATGGGCAAATATGGGCAAATATCAATTTGTCTTGAAGCCGTTTCTTTGTTCGTTTCAAAAAGGTTTTAGCCAAATCACAAGGTTGAGACAAAAAACATAGCTGAAACGAAAGAGCAGGCTGAAACCAAAAAGGCCAAACTGAAAAGGAAAGCGTTGCAACGAAAAAATCGGATTGAACCAACAATCAAACAGGCTCAAATAAAGAAAGCAGGGTTGAAACAAAAAAGAACCGATTTTAAGACAAAAAGGCAGGTTTGAAACGAAAGGACAAGAGCTAAGATTAAAAGGACTAGGTTGACACTAAAAGAGAAAGGTTCAAGACGAAGAGGCAGGGTGAAACGGAAGGACAGGGTTGAGAGAAAAGAACAAGGCTGAAACGAAAAGGGAAGAGTTTAGGACAAGAAAGAGGCAGGGTTGAAACGAAAGAACAAGGCAGAAAAGAAAGGAAAAGGGTTTAAGACCAAAAAGGACAGGGTTGAAACAAGCGTTGCAACGAAAAGATCGAATTGAACAGAAAAAACAAATAGTATAAGATGAAGAAAACATGGCTGGAACGCAAAAGCAACAATTTTAAGATAAAAAGACAGGTTTGAAATGAAAGGACAAGTGTTGAGATGAAAGGACCGGGCTAGAACGAAAAGGAAAAGGTTCAAGACGAAAAGATAGGGTTGAAACGAAAGGACAGGGTTAAGACGAAAGGGATCAGGCTGAAACGATCAGGACATGTTTAGAATTCATGGCTCCTCGAGCCTACAATACACCAGTGGACATGTCAAGTGTCTCAGACATTTTCACCACCGCGTTTACCCGCAAAACAATACTCATCGTACGAACAAAGTTGTCATGTTGAACCAATTGAGCCAGTTCAACCACTTGAGCCAATTGAACCAGTTGAGCCAACTGAACCAGTTGCACCAGTTCGCCCAGTTGAACCAGTTGAACCGGCTAAGCCAGTTGGCCCAGTTGACCCAGTTGGAGTTCAACTGGGTCAACTGGGTCAACTGGCCCAAGAGAGTTTGTTAACCCGCGCTCCGGTCACAATGGAAACGCGGGGACAGGAGACAGAGAGATAACTTTGTAAGGGCATGAAAAAAGTTCCAGAATGTGCAATGGAGCAAATGGATGATAAAATGACAGCAAAATGCAAGATAACATGCTAGTAAAATGCATTGTACAATCTGAAGAGGCCATATATATATATACACATACATACATACATCTATACATACATCTTCAAAGATTTTTGAAAAGCACATGGGATGCAACAAACCTTTGTCAAGCGCATCTGGTGTTACGCCAAAGGGCAAACAACAAGGTGCAGGTCTCAAAAAGTGACAAGGGTACCAAACAGGTACCAGACAGAAATACTGAGAATAAAAGTGAAGCACTCACTTTTTAAAAGGTTTTCCAAGACGTTGGTGTACTTCCAGCCCCCGTGCGAAGCGGTATCATCATTCACAACTTGTACATTGTACAGTCTCAAACCAGTTGTTAGTTTAAGTCCAGGTCAAGTGCTTCTATAGCAAGTGAATGAACACTGATATCAGACAAACTGAATTGGCAACGTATCCTGGATCAAGTGCAGCTTCGCCGCTGCTTCCCGCTTTACTTCAACAGGAACTTCCGCCTTGACCTTAGAACATCTGATGACATCTTAGAAAGAGTGACATGACAATACTGCTTCTGCCTCCTGAATGCAAAGGCTTGACACAAAGGTCTGAAAACCCTACAGAGAGAGAGAGAGAAAATTGGACTGCCTTTGTTTTCATGTTGCTTGTCAAATTTCGTCGAGGAGACTGCTTGGCGCGGCTTAGCCTCTTCTGCCACCTGTCCATTCACCCATAAAAATATGCAAACACACAAAGAATCCAACATTGGAACCATTTGTTACAATTTGTTACCGCAATTTCATGTTTTTTTTTGCAGATACATTTCGTCCCAAATTTTTGGAGGTCTTGATCACTGTTAATTTGAGCAAATGCCTCTCCTTCAAAGCCATTACCCAATCCCTGTTTTCATACGTTTTTATGCTGTTCCCCTGACGAAGGCAACGTGTTTTGATGTGTTTTGCATTTTTCGTTTGGATTTGTTTTAAGTTTCCCGTCGCACGGCTATTGCCGGCACCTCCGGCAGTGGGTTTCAAACGTTTCAACTTTAGCGATCAGAGATGGAGAGAAATCGAGAGAACGCATTGATATGCTATGATATAAAGGAATTGAATGGAATTGATATTTAGCAAATCCGTTCGATCCGTTGTATAGAGGAATTGCTAAAGGAGGCTCGAGACCTATGCATCATCAGGAACAGTGCACAGCAAAGAAGGGAATCGTATTATTTTGAAACTAAACGGTTGTACTGTGAAATTAAACAATTGCATTTTGCGACAGGTATTTTGAAACTAAACAGTTGTATTGTGAAACTGAACAGTTGCATTTTGAAACTGGTATTTTGAAACTTCACGGTTGTATTTTGCAACTGACCAGTTGTATTTTGAAACTCGACCATTTTTTCTGAAACTTGTATTTTGAAACCCCCAAAGTTCCCAGTCCACCAGATCACCAGCCCAGTGTGCGCACGGAGGATTCTGTCTTTTTACCTCTCCCAAGATTTCAGTGGGAAAGAGGCATCTCGGTGTTGGTATAGAGCGCACGCAGCAGCTGAAGCAATGCAACCCACCCCACCCCATCTCGAGCGTGGCATCACATAAGTGCGCAGCTTGGTCCAACGTTATCCCACCCCACCCCACCCCATCTCGAGCGTGGCATCATGTAAGTGCGCAGCTTGATCCAATCAAACCCCACCCCATCTCGAGCGTGGCATCGCGTAAGTGCGCAGCTTGATCCAATGTTGCCAGACTCGTAATTGGCATAGTAATCGTTGCGGAAAGTTAGAGACGGTAGTTTCCAAATACGAATTACGCAAGAAGAGTTGCGAAATACAACCAAGTAGTT